TTATTATAATAATTACCTCAATACAAATACTCTTACATTGTGTACAAGTTGTACAAGTTAGTACAGAATAAACAAACAGCAACACCATTTTTAGAGTGAATGAAGATATTATTATCATAATAAAAAGCACTAAACCCACAATGGTCGTGAATTGCTATATATAGTGAAGGTATATGAAAAGAATATTTTTCTACAGTTATCCCCAAGTTTGACTAGAGAAAACGTAATTCTTCCGACACTACCTACACAGCCGCTTTGTAAACAAATCTCATATTTAGGTCAATTTTTATTCTGTGAGTGTATGTATCATGTTTATATGCTATGTAATGGGTTTCATATAAAATTTTGAGGAAAATACATGAAATTAATGAAAATGCCAAATTTTAATAAAAAATAAGACATTTAATGTGCCCAAGAGTGATTATTTTTACGTAGTTTTGGGTGTCATGAGTAGAGAGAGATTTAGCGTTTTAATGGTATTTTTGCACACCAGCACAGTGTGTAAGTTATTAGGTATAGGTAACATAAGTATAATTTCAAGTACAAAAAAACACCAGAAAAACCTTAAAACACTTGAAATTTTGGAAAGTTTCCCGACATAATAGATGGGGGTTCACCAAGATGTAAACAAACCGAGGGGGGCGCACCGTATTTAAGTACCCCCGGTTCTGTATAGCAAATTTTGGTCCAAATTTACATCCCCCATATTAGGGGAACGCCGAAAGGGCAAAACGCGTAAAGGGGGGCCTACAGTACTAGTGCGACACCAACCCGGGCACGCAAGACGTACTATACGCCCCAAACCCTAAAGGGTTAAAGGGTAAATGCTTTTCCCTTCTATTATTCCCTGTTTTTGAGGGGAGACACCCAATGTGCATTCTTCGGGCATTAATAAAATTAAAAACACTTCCAGCTTAAGATGAAACTGATTTAAAGATCAACACTGCTGTCTCAGCTCAAAAACCCTAGAAACCCTTTTCACTCCTTTCCCAAAGTATGATTTAAATCACCAAACCATAAACACAACCTTTTTGTAGTAATTTTTTTTTAAAACACACCCTGTCTCCCACTGAGGCATGGTTACCCCCCCCCCCCCAAAAAAAAAAATGGGAAAAAATTTACCTCAACCCTCCGGGGGAAAAATCCCCAGAAAAATTTTTATTTATCTTTCTTCATTGAATTTGTCTTGCCAAAAGTGTTTGACATCGGTTGAGATGACCCTCTGAACCCCTAACACCTCATCCCCAAATAGTTTGGGCGATATTGAGGTAGAAAAAGCCTAAACAACCATTTTGACAAATGCTTCCCGTAGAAAAGTAACAATTAAGTTATTTCTCATTTGCATAACCAATTTTTTTAATGGAAACAATTACAGCGGAACCTCGGTTTTTGTGATTAATCCATTCGAAGAAGCTGACAAAAAACCAAATCGAACAAAAACTGAAGCAATATTCCCATAAAAAAATGTAAATCCAAATTAAACTGTTCCCGACAAACCCAAAAAAATTAACAAAAAAATACATTTTTTAAAAATAACTATAGTTTTATACAAACTAGGGATACAAAAAAAGAGGTTTCCACTGTAGTCAACGCCGACAAAAAGGGAAATGTTCCTCTCTCAATTTTACTTTTTTTACCACCCTTTTCAAAAATTTTCAAAATGGAAATGCCTATAAAAAACCTGACTATTGGGTAACAAAATTTTTTTAAAAAAGCCTTTTTTTTCCCAAAAAGTGCATGACCCAAAACATGGTCCCCCCCTTTTCGAGTTCCCGGGAATCGTAAAAATTTGCCAATCCTAGGGGGATTTTCGAAAAATGGACCGCTTTTCATAGGTCGACTCGTGATCTAGTTCGTCTGGGGCGCTACCCCCGGGGTGGCCAGGCGGCACCAGTCTGGCATTTTTAAACCTGAGCAAGGTCCCAGCGAAATATTTTATAATATTTTCCCTTATTTTAGTGCTTCAAAATACTAAATAACACCATGGGTCCAAAGAAACTCCTATGCCAAGCCCCGTGGTAAAGAAGGGAGAAAAACGTTGAATTTAAGAAAAAACCCTCATTTAAAAATAGAAAGTGGAAAAAGTGGGCCGAACTGTCCAGGATGTATAAGAACCCCACACAACCTTATGTTCCATAGTGGCCAAAAAAAATGAAAAAAAGGGAATGCTGTTGTTGCAAAGGGAGTAACTATCGACAAAAAGGATCACCAGACGGGAAGAGGTTAGAATTTTTATTGGGTGGAAAAATGAGAACTTTAGCGGGGAGATATCTATACTTCTTTTATTTTGAAAAGGCTGGCGTTGCATAAAATTTTGGGTAAAGAAATTGCCTGAAAATAGGGGTGAAGTGAGTGTTTTAAGGCCAGAAAAGGCTGGTTTAGAGTTTTAGAACCTACTGGCTAAAACAGTGTGGTAAGGCTGGTGAGGCTGCCGTTCGGACCAAAAGGCGGCTGAAAAAATATGTGCAAAATTCCAGGGTACATAAGGCTAAAGGCTGAAACCTGAAAAAGTTTAAATTGTGACAAAACGGGCCTCTTTTGGAAGAAAATGCCAAAAGGACCTTCTTTACCAAGAGGAAAAGGCAATGCCGGGGACAAACCTATAAAGACGGGCTGACGCTTGTTCGTGCTAATGTAGTGGGGTTTTCAAAGTGAACCCATTACTAGTGACCTTTCTGAAAACCCCAGATTTTTCGGAAAAAAAGTTATGAAGAGAAAGGGTTTTTGTTTTTGGAAATCTAAAAAGAAGGCATGGTCACGAGGGAAATTTTCGTCGAGTGGGTTTAATGAAGTTTTGGCCCCAGTGTGAAGGGGGTACTCCGGGAAAAAAAATTGGGTTCAAGTGCCTCTAGTAATGGACAATGCACCCCTTTTATCCCCAAACTTGGGGACCTAATTTTCGAGGAGTTTGGGTTCACACATAAAATTCTTGCCCCCAAAAACCCCCTCTCCTCCAAAACCCGGACCCATCAGGTTATTAAATTTAAAAAAATCTACACAAAAGCAATGTTTCAAGGTGCTTGACTGTGACCACAGACATCACTCGGCCCTAGGAATTTTGGGGAGAACACTTCAGCATCCCCAAATGATAACCCTAAGATGGCTTGGAGGGAGTGATCCAGGGTTTAACCCTTTCCTGGGGAAAAATTGTGGCCCGATTGTGCGACAAAAGGGATTGAAGAATTTGGGACTCACTAAAGAGCCATGTCTTTTTGTAAAATCAATTGTGGCACTGGGGGTTCCATGGGGTTGGATGTGAGTTTGGAGGATGTTTAAGAATGGTGGAAACCACAAAGAAGAGTCACCCCGGGGGTGCAAAGCTTCAGCAGGGGAAAAGCAAAAACATTGCAGCTCAGTTTTGCGCAGAGGGGAAGAGGGGAAGAAGGGGCCCTTTTTCAGAAATTTTAAAAAGATTTTTACTATGTGGGGTAAAGAGGAAAGTTTATGGAGAAAATCCCCCTAACAAGGGTTTGTTGCAAGCCAAAATTGGAAATGTACAGTGAAAAAAGTCTTGGGCCATTTTAGGGAAGTTTAAAGAGAGCGAAACAAGCTTTTCCACAGTTTTTTTGTGAACAACCCAGTGACTCTAAAGGGGGGGCCCAGTGGCATTAAAAAACAGAAAAGAAAGCAACTCCAGAAAAGCAAATGGACCTGGGGGGTTTTTTGATGAAGGGGATTCCCCCTTTCCCAAATATAAAAAAAAACCCCCCCTCCTCCTCCAGTCTCCAACACTAAAAGAATCTCCAATAAAGGTAAGTTTATGCTGTAATTTTTTCTTTCATCATTTCCCATTGTTTGTTAACGTACTACATGTATATTTCATTTAAAAAAATTTTTTTTTTAAAAATACTTCTGGGTGTCGGGAAGGGATTTAATTGTATTTACATTATTTTTATGGGGAAAATTGTTCGTAATTGAAAATTTTTTTAAAAGTAACGGCCCAGGGAAAGGATTAATTCGAACAAACGAGGGACCACTGATTTGGAAAACAAACACACAATTTTTTTTTTAAAAACGCTGGCCATTTTTCACTGAGGTAGGATGACCCAAAAAAGAAACCTTTCGCCTATTTACACTATCATGTCTTTTTCCGAGGGGCACAGATCAAAAATTACAAAAAAAATTTTTGTTAAAAATCTACAATATGATAAAGCATAGCAATTAATCCTTGCAACCCATCATGAGATTGTTTTTATAAAAAAAAATCAACAAATTTATCTTTAAACAAAATAAACGGCAAAAAGTAGGGAGTAGGTTTTGACAGCAACCCCCCCAGGGAGGTCCAACCCCTCCTTCCCCAATGATTAAACAAGCTTTTATTTTTTTACAATGGTAGGATTTTCGGGTCTTTTTTTTGTCCTCATAAAATGCAAGATTTCAGGTCGGTCTTGCTACTACTACAACACTTAGGTCACACTACACATACAGTACAAGCATTATACACACCCCCCTGGGTTTTTTTTCATTTTCTTTCTAGTTCTTGTTCTTGTTTTATTTCCCTTACCCCCAGGGGGAAATGGAGCAGAATTTTCCTCCGTAAGCCTGCGTGTTTTTAAGAGGCCAAAAAACCGGGCAAGGGGGTAGTAACCCTTTTCTCCTGACAAATTTTCTAAATTTAAAAGGAAACTTTCATTTTTTTTTTTGGGCCACCCTGCCTCGGTGGGATACGGTTGGTTTGTTGAAAAAAATGCAAAAATAAATACTAAAGAGTTCTTCCATACAATATTTTTATAACATTTTATTCTACAAAATACAGTGGACCCCCGGTTAACGATATTTTTTCACTCCAGAAGTATGTTCAGGTGCCAGTACTGACCGAATTTGTTCCCATAAGAAATATTGTGAAGTAGATTAGTCCATTTCAGACCCCCAAACATACACGTACAAACGCACTTACATAAATACACTTACATAATTGGTCGCATTCGGAGGTAATCGTTATGCGGGGGTCCACTGTATTTCTACCCCCAAAATATGTTTGAAAATCAATAAGTACATACCTAAGATCATGCTTTAGTCTGTCAACTTCCTCCTGGTGTGCTTGAGAGAGTGTTTGTGTCTTCTGCAGGTTCTGATTAAGGTTCTGTTTCTCCAGTTCTAGATTTTCAATACGGAAATTATAATTCGCAAGCGTAGCAATGAAATTATCCCTCTCTACTGTTTGGGACTTAACTAAATTTTCCATGTCCTGAAGACGTCCCTTGAGGTCCCAGGCTGCTCTCTTAGGTTTCCCTGGCAATTCAAGTCAAGAAATAAGTATTTATCAACTACTTTAACCCATATATACTTGCAATTAATCCCAAATGGAACCTACCAAACAGTATATCATCTTCCTCAAACATTTTACCAACAGCTAGCAAGCAAGCCTTCTCCAGTGAACAAATACTGTACCTAAAGAACAAAAGGGCACAATAATGTGACTCAAACAATACACAAATAACCTGTACATAGAAAAGAGGAGCTTACAACGTCATTTCGGTCCAACTTGGACCGAAGTCAGACCAAAACGTCGTTGTAAGCTCAACTCTCCTATGTGCGGGTTATTTATGTATGATACTGTACTTAAAGGATTCTGTCAATCCAAGCTTGTGTCAATTCTAGGGAAAAAATTAGGCTATATCCTTTGTATCTTTTAATATCTAGCCATAATACATTATTGTTAAATGCATTAAGTGAGATGTTGGGCATTTTCACAATAATATATTATTTATGGTACTTCTATACAATACAATGAACTGGACTTTAATACCCTATTAAATACCAATTCAGCCTAAAATAAATCATTTTCAACTAAATATACTTTGATGTTGCTACACTCAAGAAATTATCTGGTCACTAGTGATTACCAAATGTACTACCTTTAAAAATGTTGTAAGAGCTTAAAATAACTGTACCATGACCAAAATACATCTCCTAAAATGCAATAATATTAAGCTATACATATACTATACTATCATATACATACTATCATATACATACTATCATATACATATACTATCAGCAGGAGAAGAAAAGTAATATTGAGCTATAAAATTAAATAGTATAGCAACAGAATCAATTCCATCTCTGGCAATTTTTATACTAAGTGATTTATATTCCTCCAAGTATGTGCACCGAGAGGCTGCTTACTCTCAGTGCACATACCTTTCAAATACTGAGTTGAAGTTTAGTTTGCTAACTTTAATATCTGTTGATTAAATAAGTCATTAGGGTCACAAATTGACAGCACCAGCTTCAAGAATGCTTAAATTCCCATGATAAGAGTACATAAACCATGCATACACTGAGAAGGTGCTCACTCTCTGTGTATGCATGGTTCACATACTCTATCATAGGAATTTAAGCATTCCTGAAGCTGGTGCAGTGTATTTGTGACCCTAATGACTCTTAATTAATCAACAGATATTAAAGCTAACAAACTAAACTTAAACTCAGCCCTTGAAAGGTGGCAAAGTATGGAATCTGCCGCAAGTTTACCTACAAAAGAATGAAGGTTAACCTTTGTTTATACATACTCTCTTGCTAATGTAGTTTTAAAGTGAGGATAACAGTGTATGTATTTAGTTTCCTGTGAATTTTCCATCTTCAGTTCTAAATTTTCTTGACAAAATTACACATTACACTTAGAATTACCAACATATGCTATGTACTCCATCTGATACATTAACCCTTTCAGGGTTTTGGCCGTACTAGTACGGCTTACGCGCCAGGGTTTTTGACGTACTAGTACGCCTAAATTCTAGCGCCTTCAAATCTAGTGAGAGAAAGCTGGTAGGTCTACATATGAAAGAAATGGGCCTATGTGGTCAGTGTGCGCGGTATAAAAAAAATCCTGCAGCACACAGTGCGTAATGAGAAAAAAAAAAGCTTTGACCGTGTTTTTGGATTAAAACAGCGACTTTGCACTGTATTTTCATATGGTATTTATTATTTTATTCTGCTTTTCCTGGTCTCATTTTATAGAATGGAAGACATATTACAGAAATTGAGATGATTTTGACTGGTTTTACAAAGAAAATTACCTTGAAATTGAGCTCAAAGTAGCAGAAATGTTCAATTTTTACCAAAGTTCAAAAGTAAACAAATCATGCTATGCGTCCAATACACGTCAACTGGTGAGTCTAATATTCTTTCACAAGTGCGCTGATATTATTTATACCATTTCTACACCAATGCAGTAGTCTGCATAACAGTAAACCTTCTATTTTTTGTGAGAATAAAAATTCAAAGTGGAAAGCAAAAGAATGTAAGAGGGGCATAGGGACATGACTAATGAACAGAAGGAATGTTATTTTAGTGCCAGGAATGTCTTTCTTGTTTATTCTGGACCCTATTTGGAAATTGGCATCTTTTGAAATTTGTGTGAAATTGGCAAAATTGCTAAATTCTGACCACTGTATTGGACAGTTGAAATCAGTAAATGGGTGGCTTCTTGTACTCGTTCGATAGAAAAAATGGAGTTCTAGCGAAATAGTTAGGATTTTTGTCGACAAGTATGCTGGAATTGGCCGAAAATAGGGCTCAAAGTGGGCAAAATCGCTGATGCATAAACATCGTCGAGACCGCTAACTTCGCGAGAGCATAATTCCGTAAGTTTTCCATCAAATTTCATACTTTTGGTGTCATTATGATTGGGAAAAGATTCTTTATCTTTTCCTAGGAAAAAATATTTTTTTTTTTTTTTTTTAAATTTGGCCAACCCTGAGAACAAGTCTCTGAGACAGTCTGTCAACCCTGAAAGGGTTAAATATGAAAGAACTGAGTTTTATTCAAATGATTATTTGAGCTGCAATGTATCACCAGTCTTACTAGCTGTCTCAAAATACACAACTTCACCTAAACTACGAATGATTTGGGAGTTTTATTATATATCCCATTATCATCCTTAGACAAGCTGAAAAGGTTGCTAGTTCTTAGCTTCAACTGTTCATATCTTCTCACTTTGTGTTAGTCCTCAATGAACATTAGTCCAGATAAAATAGAATATAAAATTCAGCATCTCTAAAAAAAATGGGATAACAGTACGTACATCAATTCACCAAGAAGCCCTGATCAAGAGTAACAGAATATGCAGCACAAATGATTGATTAATTACACTAAATACTGAATATAAAACTGTATGCAACCTACCTTTAGTGACTGGCTCTTCACTGTCCTTACTGGCTGCTGGCAATGTCTTGGAATTCTTGCTAACAGAAGAGTGGGTATTGTTGACATGATTGGTTATGTTAGTTCCTGGTTTGCGGCCAACTACTCCTGAAACATCAATGCATGCACAATTCACGTCTAAAAAAATATCCGAACTTGAGTGACATGCACCAAAGGTCATGCATAAGAGGTACAGCATTGCTGGAATTCCATTATGCATGTGTGATATGATGCATTAGCATTATAAATTAAAAAAACTAGAAAAACCTAAAAAAAAAAAAAAAAAAATCCATGGATTAACTGTAAATCTGCCCATGAGCTGGTCTATATGCCTGTGATATATACTTGTGACTGGTTCTGAGATTTTTTTCTACCTTCACAACCTAGCCTGAGGTGAAGACTTTTGTGATGATTGCTTGTTCAATATAGTTGTTGCTATTGGCAGTCCACCTGCCTCAACATCCGTCACAGACAGCTTTGATCTGGCATTTGCAGTGAAAACTTCTACACTTACGGTAATATTTTCAAAATCTGCTGGTAGTGGGCTGAAGAGTCTAGGATTACAAACATGCCCATGGTGTTCAAGCATCTTCCACATACATATCAGATATCTCTTCTTCATTCCAGCATTCATTCCCAGTACAGTACTCTGAGGCATTCACAGTAGCATAAATGCTTCATTGGGCACATGGGCAGTAAAGGTGATAAACCCTGGAAATCCATTAGCCGTCATTTACAGTTTTTAGGGTACAGCATTGCATTTAGGGTAAAGCACTTTCTTCCCATTCCACCCCACTTCAGCTTTCCAGGAATTTGATTTTACAAGCTTCTACAGCTGCTGAACCTGCAGTGAAATACTCAACAATATCCTTGCCACCATAATGAAGTCCCTTAGCTCAACCAATATTTCATTACTCATTCTGTGTGATGGAATAATAGGGAAACATACTTTCGTTCCTGCAATGTAATTTATTATTCATATTCCACAAACCATATCCACACATTTTTCTCCAAATCATAGACTGTAACAGCAGACTATGCTGAAAAAAGAAGAGATGCTGGGCTTATAGTCAGAACACTACCCAATATTGAGTTGGATCCACCTCCCAGAGAAGCCTTTTTCCTGTAGACAAACCTCTCAAACACCACCTCTGCATTAAGGTGACCCAGCAGCAGGGAGACAGGGAAAGTAAACAAATCAAAATCTTCAGGTCACACTACCCTGGTGGGAGATGGTTGATATGTTCAAAACCAATAATACTGTACATACTCATACAGTATAAATGTTACTGTTGATTATACTTCCACACAGGAGTAATGAATTAGGTGATCACATTTAAAAATAATTAGAGTGAGTGCAGCTCAACATGCAGCATTACAAAGCTGATAATACAACACATGCAAATAATTTACCTTGTAGGCTCAGTAAAGCCTCAACAATTAATCTTCCACATTCTGGAAGTCTAAGATCTATCAACTGTCCACCTATTTCAATGGAGTTCATCCTTGGAACTTCAGAACTTGTTGGGCTAGCAATATTCCTATCACTAGTGAGAATTGTAGTGCTCTTTTCTTCAGGGCATGGTTCAGGAACACTCAAAATTTTGTCACTCGAACACACAGAACCCATCCTTCAACAGAGGCACATGGAGGCACTAAATGTCTTTCCTGAATTATTTTTTATGTAATTCTTCTTCTGTCAAGTGGGACATTTATGTCCATAATTACGTCACAAGTTCTATTTTGAAGCAGTCTCGAATTTGGCTTATTTACATTTCAGGAAATAATTTCTTCAGCTTTTCATAAAAATAAACTATTAAAACACAATTTTATTTAAAATCACACCTAAACACAAAATGATTACTGTGTACAGATGATGAATATACCTTGATATTCAAGCAATCACACAAGTTGTCCTGGCTCCTAGTGCAGTACTAAACTTAGCTCCCATCTTAGTGTACTGAGGTTCTGCATACAACACTGTCACTAAATCAGTTATACCAGATGTGAAGCCACACTGATGACCACATACCTTTATCTTTCCTCTGATATGCCTTTGATGAGTTCTGAGAGTTTTTCTACTCCCAGAGCCCAGCCTTGGGCCAGGCTAGCCTGGTGCTTACCTGGTCAACTAAGCTGTTGCTGCATCCAGTCAGCTTACTTACAAAGATCATTTAGTGATTTTTTTTGTAAATGTAACTGAAAATATACAACCAAAACTGAATAGCTTGTGGAAAGGTCTTCACTGCACGTTCTATTCAATTCTGGACAAGGGTGTGGGGGCAATGACCCCTAGAACACCCTCCAGGTATACTCCTCCAGGTATGTGCTTTTCAGCTTTTGAGGAAATTTTTCATAAGCTATTCAGTTTTGAAGGAAAATTTTCAGTCACATTTACAAAATAAAAAAATATAGAGAAGCTTTATAGGAGAGTTGACAGAACACATACAGGAGAGATTTCTCTCATTTCTCTAAGCCTCTACACTGGTTATTTCATGTTATGCTTTTGGATGTGGGCATCAAGTTAAGTCAAATGTAATATTCTAAACATTCCCAGAGCAATTTCTAAGATAAAATCAATCAATCAATCAATCAAGTTTCTTCTCTATAAAGATTAAAATGTGGGGTTTACAGGTTTTGGATATTATGTGGTTTACAGGTTATGAAATACTAATTACAGAGGGGGCCAGTAGGACACCTAGCATGGCTAGGCATTTCGGGCAGACTTAGATTAATTCTTAACTCTAAATTATTAAAGATTATGGAGTGAGTTGGTATTAAGGCTAAGTGACTACATTATAGTTTGTGAGTTTAGCAATGTGAATGCTTTTGTTTTGGCACAATACACAGGTTCTATATTGGAGTATCACAGGCAAACTTATGACTAGTTGGGATTCATTATTTTATGATTAAGATTCGTATTTCTGTGTTTATAGTCAAATGGGTGAGTGAGTGAGTGTGCAAACAGGTGGTTTTCATGCAGTTAGTTGTCAGAGTGTATCAGGGAGATAAAATGTTGTCTAACGGTAGTTTTGAAAGTGATGAATGTGTCTGCAGTTCTAGAGCTTTCAGGTAGGGTGTTCCAAATTTTAGGCCCTTTGACATACATTGAATTTTTGTAAAGGTTTAGTCGGACACGGGGAATGTCATAGAGATGTTTGTCTGGTGCAATGCCTGTGGGTCCTGTCACAACTATCAAGAAAGCATTTTAGGTCAAGGTTAATATGGAATTTAAGGTCCTGTAGATGCAGATTGCACAGTAGTAAGTGTGGATGTTCTGAACAGGGAGTAAGTTTAGATCTATGAATAGTGGGGGGGGGGGCGGGGATGGGATTCAGTGATTATTCTTACTGCGGCTTTTTGTTGGGGTATTATTGGCTTTAGGTGTGTTGCTGCAGTTGATCCCCAAGCACAAATAGCATAGGTGAGGTATGGATAAATGAGTGAATGGTATAGCGTGAGAAGGGCAGTTTGCGGCACGTAGTATCATATCTTGGAGAGGATCCCAACCCTTTTGGATAATTTTTTTATGTGTTGGGTATGGGTGATGAAAGTCAGGTTGTTGTCGAGGTATAGGCCTAGGAATTTGCCCTCATTATGTCTGGCAATTAGAGTCTTGTCGATCTTAATGTTAAGCTGCGCAACACCTGCTCTGCTACCAAACATAATATAGTAGGTTTTGTCAGTGTTGTGTAAGTTTATTGGCTGTCATCCAAGTCGATATTTTGAGCAGCTCCTCGTTAACAATGGTGTTGAGGGTGGCAAGAATAGGGTGGGAGATGTCATAAGTCGTGTCGTCAGCAAAGAGAGAGGGTTTCAGGTGTTGGGATGTCTGGAAGATCACTGATGTAAATGAGGAAGAGCAGGGGACCAAGGACACTTCCCTGCGGAACTCCAGTATCAAGTGGCCGTGTTGATGAGGCTGTGTCTTTAATGGTGACATACTGATACCTATTAGTAAGGTAGGATTTTGAAATATGCAAGCGCATGGCTCTTATACCATAATGGGCAAGTTTGTGGAGTAGGATGCCGTGACCTTTTGTCAAAAGCTTTTCTTAGGTCAATAAAAATTCCTAGCGGATATTCTTTATTTTCCAATGTTGTGTAAAGCAGGTATAGCATTTTTACAATTGCATCATTAGTGCTTTTTTTTTTCCTGAATCCAAACTGGCAGGGGTTTTAGTATGTTTTGTGCCATTATAAATGAATATAATAACAAATAACCCGCACAAAAAAGGGGAGAAGCTTACGACGACTTTTCGGCCCCCGATTTGGACCATTGACAAAGTCACATAACCAGAGGTGGAGCGGAGGTAATTATAGGCGGGAAGAGGTGGTGGTAGTGTAGTAGTGCATAGTACAAGGTTGTTTAAAATACCGACAAATGAAATTAAGACACCACAAACCCGGCCCCCCATCATAGACGTTTCCCCATCCAGCCAGCCAGGGAGGGCAAAACGCCAAAACAAAGAAAACCAGACCCCGCACATGTGTTTTTAATTTCATCAATTTGGTAGTTAGTAAAAGAAAAAAGGGGTATAGTAGTGGTAGGGGGTTAAAGGGGGAAATAAAAAGGACAAGCCAGTCAAATACAAAGGGAAGGGGGGAGCACTGCAAGAGAGCTAGATGCCCCAGGGGGAGAGCAGCGCACAGAGGTCCGTGAAAAAAAAGTGGTGAAAAAATGAAGAAGGAACAAAACACAACATGAGAGAGAAAAAGACAACCAGAGGAAAAAGAGGAAAAGGGGGAAGAGGATGAAGAAAAAAAGAAAGAAAAATGGGATTCTTAATCAGGGGTGTTCTAATTTTGGAGCATTTTACAATGTATGGGAGAGGAAGGCTCTACAGAGACGAAGCCAGGGCAAAGGGTTTTCATACAAGGAAAGTTGTGTATTAGAGAGGTTTCAAAGACGGGGACGTTGGGTTTGGAAGTAGGGAAGACATTTTTTAGCAGAAGGCCCCGTCAATAGGATGGCATGATCTCTACGGACAGAAAAGAGCATTGTTAGTGCGGCAACCCAAACACATTTTTTGGCTCCCTAAGTCTGTCAGAAAGGATCACCAGTTTTTTTCCGAAGTATTGAAGAAGACAGGAGGGAAAGAAATAGA